CAGAAAGGTGACCGTTTGTCTTCGTATGACATACAAGAAGATTATCGAATTTTTTATCTGACGTATATACACTGAAGCTGCGCATGCTGATATATAATTTAGTTTAATTGTCAAATCTATATTGAGCCTTGTAAGTTTAATGACTAGACAAATAAACGAAACTAAACGATGTCGCGAAATATATATACCGTCGCTTGGGTACTGCCCTTCCTTATATTTTAAACTTCCCTACAAAATTCCAGATCAATCCATTGAGTATTTTCTGATTAATATTGTTGACCTAAGCAATCACATGCAATTAAACGCAATTTTTATTTAACTCCTTCGCAGTACAGTAGAAAAATCGTTTGTGGGTCCACAACAGTCAAAAAAAAAAGTTTCAAAAAAAATATCATATCATCGTATAAAAAGTTTTTGGGGTCGCTGAATCCAAATTTGAGGTCAGATTTAAAAAATTAAAAAAGGCGGACCCAATATGGTGACCCAATATGGCGGAAAAATTTAAAATTGATTCGATTAGTTCAAAATTCTGTACTCGGGGATTTTTGGGGTCGCTGAATCCAAATTTTAGTTCAAATTGAAAAAATTCAAAATGGCGGACCTAATATGGCGACCCAATATGGCAGAAAATTTTAAAATTGATTTGATTCGTTCAAAATTCGTTAATCGGGGGTTTTTGAGGTCGATGAATTCAAATTTTGAATTTGTTAAATCTAACCTCAAATTCAGATTCAACGACTCCAAAAACTCCCTAGTACTAAATTTTGAATGAATCGAATCAATTTTCAAATTTCTTAAAACTGACCTCAAATTTAGATTGAGCAACCCCAAAAACCCTTAAGCAACCATTTTCATGCAAATCTGTTCAATTTTTAAATTTTTTTGGACGCCATATTGGATCCGCCATTTTGAATTTTGTAAATCTAACATCAAATTCAGATTCAGCGACCCCAAAAACCTTAGTATACCCATTGACATTCAAATCGAATTATGTTTAGTATTTTTTTCCTAAGATGGACATATATGTCCAAACTAACAAAGGTGGCACGACTTTTTTCTGGACATATATGAGCCATGGATTGTCAAAGGGATAAAATCAAAGAAATAAATTCTTTGTTTTATTTTTTTTATATTTACAATGCAAATGCAGATCAATAAGACAATTTGAAGGCATACATGCACAAAAATTGTCACTTAATATTTGAATTTTGAAACAAATTCTAGTGATAGAAACGAAGAAATATTATACGAATATAGTAGTAAACGCCTGAGGCAACAAAGTAACCCCACTATATGCAGGTAAATAACATGTTGCCATTTAATTTCAGTTTACTACTGTAAAATTGCTCCCTAATAACAACAATGAAACTTCGTTCATGGGATAATAAAGATGATTCTAACGGTCTCTTAGTATAAGTTTGGGAATATTCATCGAAATTTAGTGACTTTCTCTTTTCAAAAAAGGTTCTCTGCTCTTTTATAATATTCCTTACAGTTATAATCACAGTCATATTTAAATTTTATAATTAAAAATTCTTTATAATACTCATTAAACTGGATTTAAAATTGAAACTTTTTCACTTTCTTTTAGATATATGAACATGTTCCTATACGATGACTTTAAAAAAGACATTTAAAAGTAAAGGAGAAGAAAGATCAGTAAAATAAAGAATGACAAAAAGAAAACAGTTGTATAATAAAAAAAACTGTGTCATTGAAGTATATTTACAGGGAAGAATACCCATGGTTATAACGATTTGCCGGTTTTTCTCGGTTATTAAGATATCATCAATCTTACTCGAAGATCTGATCGGTCCGCGCACTGCAGGGTTCTTCCTCTTTTTCCATCTCATCTCCATTCATCTAACGAACATACAAGCCATGAAGAATGTAAACTATGTCACTCATGATGAGTTTATTACAACGTATCATTGAGTTCTCTGTACTTTAGATTATAAACGTTTAATTATAATAAATCAAATATCTCAAGCAAAGACTATAAAAAAGGTGTTTAAGATTCTATAATACCAATATTAATAATATCATTAATAATATTATTTATATTAATAAAAGAGTGAAGTAGAGATAAGATAAATAGTTGTTATAAATTATAAAGGCGTTCGATTCATTATCGGACAAGAAAAGTGAAGCTTTTTACATTGTGTTGAACGTCACAAGTGCGGTTTAAGAAGATTTGCTTAGTCGTCCAGTTGTTTCTGCCATCAACTATCTGTCATTTTGACACTCAACGTCACTACCGACTTACGTACCTTCACCAATGTCAATAAAAATAACAAATTCACACCTTAAGAATATTAGTTATCAGTCACCTAAACTACTTTCTTTAGTTTTTATATATTTCAATTTAGTAATCAATTTATATTATTCATCTTCTTAAAGAAAACATTTTATTTATAAATTTTTGAAACTAATCATAAATATTAATATATTCTTAAACATACAAGATTTTAGCTTTATCTATATAAGTTAATTTACAAGATCGCATATTTCTAAAACTAAAATTATTATGCCTAATTTGTTAATATAGATAATAAATTTGTATTTAAAAAAACACTACATAGAGTCGAGAAAATGAAAAGTCTAATTTGAGCGTGTTAAATTGTCTTATAAATCTTATTTCGTCCAGGGACAGCAAAAACTTTAATATAGCCTTAAAATAAAATGGATCTGAAGTTAATCACCGCCGCCGGTTTCTCTTTCATGCGGAACGAATAGGAATGCCGACAACAAATCAAATAAATTTATAATTTTCAAAAGATTAAATTTATAAAAAAAAGTCTTATAATGAAAAAAAGTACATCCCCCGTTGATGAGAAAAAATATTTTTTCTTATTATATTTTTAAAGAAAAAATGTGAAAAAATATTCTACTTTAAAATAAACAATAATTAATATTATAATTTTTTTAAACTTACTATCTTGTGGTAAACCATAAATTTCTTAACCAATGAAAATTGAGAAAGATAGGATTGGTGGTAGCTTACTCAGATACGAGCCCTTGTCCAATCCTGGAGCCTTCCAAGCGATTACTTCCTCCAGCTGATCGCTCATACTAATTTCATAACTACAGCCCTCGCACCAATCGGCGCATGGAGTAAAAAAACACAAGAACTCAAGACTAAAAAAAAGGAGAAAAAAAATGAGAAACATGGGGAAGATGAATATAACGATGGAAGTTAAACGTATCTGCTTTGCTCGAGTTTGCAATCGAAAATTACATCACAATTTAAAATTATTTTTTTAGAAATAAAATAGTGGTATGATTAAATTAAAATAAAAAATAACTTCTTATTGATAAACTCATCACTTTTCTTGTACGGTCAAAAAAATATAAAATCTACTTATGTTTTTTATATCCTACGTATATAAATAATGCATAATATTTGTTATAGTAACAACATTCTAAAATCTCGAATTAATAACAATTTTTTGTCCATTCGCCAAATACTAATTTTTACAATTCAGAATAAGAAAGTAAGAATTCTAAAAAGCAATTCGCATAACTTCTAGGATTAAATTTGTAAATGCAAATTCATATTCGTACATTAAAAATTCCCTGGTTATTTGTATTGAAATCTGAAGAAGATATGCCTACAGACTTTATAAAATCGAATGTGAGGTAGAAAAAGAAAAAGAGACATAAGGCCCTCGGTCAGATTGGTGGAAAGAGGCGGGTCGGAGCAATAATTTTTTTTTTATTTTTTATAATCCTATACGTTTTACACTCTATCACAAAATACAAAAATAGTGTGATCTCAAATCTATTTAGGTAATAGATTCACACAGTAGAAATTATACATTTATATAATAATATTAATAAGAATTAAAAATATATTACTTGGTCGTATTTTAATAATAATATTGTTCATTACTAATTAATTGAATTCCTATAACACAAAATTGTCATATTTTAAATATATATTATTTATTTTTCATTAATTCATACCTAATGGTAAAATATCATTCTTATTTAAAAAATAGACAAATCGAATTTTTCGTAACCAATGGTTTTTTTTTTGAAAAATAATCATTTAATTCATAAGAAAATGAGAGAGAAAATAGTCGAATAGCGTGGGTTGAAACGAAAAAGAAAACGCAAACAAAGAGAAAAAAAAGTCCATCTATGAGATGAGAAAATAATAATAAAGTGGAAATGAGAGAGTCCGTCCATAAATTGCTGCGCTCCTTGTTAATGGTCTGAGGGCCCCGGGCGACCTCAGCTAAACGTTAGCCCGGTCTGACCTGGCTCTCCATTTTTCTGTTTTTCTTTTTCTTTCTTTCATTCTTATTTTCCATCTCATTCTGCACAGTTGGGGCCTTGTGCAACAGGATCTGGTTTGACTCGGTTCCGGACGCGCTTGGAAGCCTTATTTCTGTATTTAATGGACGTCCAACGATGGCCACCGAGTCCTTAGCCTGAGACGCTTTAGCTCTTCTGTTAGGGTTTCTGTTCAACCAGAAAACAAAGGGCATGATGATGCCAACGTGATTGGTGATCGGGCGTGGTTCTCACTCGACTTTTATAACAGCATTTATAAAAAATTTTCCCCCTTAGTTCAATTAAAATAATGTTACAACTGACTTCACTAAAAATATTTTGCTTCAAAATTGGAATATATAAAAAATATGTTCTCTTTTTTATTTAATAAATTATTTATATTCATAAATATACTTTCTTTTTTAAAAACACACATAAGAGTATGAGTAAATACTAAAAACTTTTTGAATATTCATAAAAATGTTTGAATGCGAGATATTTTTCATAATTATTTATTAATTATCATTGTAAGACAAATGAAATTAAGTAAATTTTAAAAGTTATAATAATTAATGTTCATAATTCAGATATGCAACACGAGAGGGCAGTAGCTTACGGACAAGTAGAGTTCACCATCTACTTCTCATCTCTAGAATTCTCTTTCACATTCTTTTTTACCTCTATTATTCAAAGGATAAATAAATTTTTTTGAAACTCGTAAATTTTCATTACTATTATATATTTCAGATTCAAATAATTTATTAATTGAATTTACAAAAGAAATTCTTGAATTATTTTAGTGGGATATCATAATATTACAACATATAAAACCATTTACTCACATGGTAAGATTGTCTTAATGGTAAAACGTTTGTGATTAACATATTTTTTGTCCAAATAAAAAAAAACAAAAAATTTTCTTATTCTCTAAAATACTACAATTTTAATTGAAATGTTATGAAGTTTATTTTAAAAGCCAGAATAATAAGAATGCATAACTTTTTATAGAGTTGAAGCTCAAACTCCATTTAAATAATGTTTGCATACTTTTTTACAATTTCTCGATATAAATCGAAAACATGTTGACTTGCAGTTTTACAACATTGTTTAGTTGCAATCATATCCTTCTCTACAAAGGTACCTGATGTATGACAACAGATAACGTCCTTTCTAACGCTGTCAAAAGCATAAGTGAAAGAAGCTCGTGCATTCTGAAAATAATAAAAAGTTTTGATTGTAAATTAGTTTTCTTACAAAATTACATTTTATAATAGCAACATATGTTATTTTAAATAAAGTTCTAGATTAATACATTTTTTGTGCTCATTACGTTTAAAATAAATTAAATACTTCAGATTCATAATTTTGAAATTGTTCAAGTTGATAAAAATCTAGACATCTATGGCATTATCTCTTAAAACATGAGAAAATTATGGTTTCATGAAAATTATTTACAGGCAGTTGGTAAAGTAGACTCCTATAGAAAGTATCTTTCAGAATAGTGATACATCAGTTTTTACCGACACTGGGTTCAATGTATGCTTTGTTGGTAATTGACTGCATTATCTTGAAAGACGATAAAAATAGATATCTACTTTAATGTATTATAGATATTATATGTAAAAATATATAAGCCTGATAAACAAAACTTAATTAAAAACATAATGATAAATAATATGAAACATATATTTCGTTTAATGTTTTTTAAAAATAAACTAAATTTTATTATAAGATTTTTTGGCTTATCATAGCCAATGTGAATTCTCAGTATAAGATATTTGAGAAATAGAAAGTTAACTCGAAATATTTTGAGAACGAGCCAAGTAAATTATTTTGAAGGTTGTGGAAAATAATATTTACAATGTGTACATTTTATAAAAAAAAACACAAATGTCAATGTAAGAAACAATAACTATCGTCATAACGATAATGTGACATATGTGAATATAATAACATTAACGCATAGTCAAATTATACATGAGAATTGAGACAGTGTAAAAATGAAAAAAAAATCGATTTTGAAATGTATGTAAATTAAAAGATTGAAAAAAATAAACTCTCAATAAAGTTGAAATTGTAAAACTCTATAATTCAAATCAGTAATTTTTCCCCATATACTGATACTTGTGTAATAAACAGAGTGGAAAAAATAAAAGCAACCCTTATAAAAAATTTCTTTTTTTGAGATCCTATTTATTTATCTATCTTCTCTAGACAAGGATATTCTTCTTTAAAGTAGAAGTTTTTGTTCTATTATTTTGTTTTAAATAGCGTATACTCAAAAATATTCATATGTAATTAATTTAATTTAAATTTAAATCCTCCTAACACCTATACAATTAAAACCTTGCAAAATGTTTACACGGAAAGAAATGTAAGAGAATTTGATCTTCATATTTACTAAATTGTAAGTTACAAGTCATCTCTTATGAAAAATAATTACTGGCATAATTATTGGGATTTTTTTTTAGAATTTCTTGAAAAATTAATCTCTCACTCGAATGCCCTGTTGAAAATTCCTGTGAAGGAACACACACAGGATCCTATTTCGAGTTCCTTCATAAGGTCCCTCGTATGTTCATATGTGGTTTACCACACAAAATTCTTTTGTAAAGGATCCTGTAAGGAACTTGTGTGTGAACTATCATGGTTTAAAAGTTTCTACGTAGGAACACATGCTACTTACCAAGAGCAAGGTACGTACGAACTTGTGAAAGAAACTTCAAAGGATACCATGTAGGAACACTCATTATTTAGCAACAAAAAGGTACGTACAAATTTGTAAATAATCTTATTAAGGTTACCATGCAGGAACCTATTTAGGAACACTTTAATGGTACCGTAAAGGAAAACTTTTATATAACATTCCTTAAAAAGGATCCCGTGAAGTAACACGCAAGATCGTTCATCGGATACAACGTAGGATCTTACATTAAAACTTGTTTATAAAAGAACTTGTATTTGATCTTACACAGGAAAAATCGTGAGATCCCCTGTTGTAATTATTTTCAACATGTTGGAAACCATGATAGTTCACACACAAGTTCCTTACAGGATTTTTTACAAAAGAATTCTATGTGGTAAACCACTTACGAGGGAACTTACGAAGGAACTCGAAATAGGATCCTGTGTCTGTTCCTTCACAGGAATTTTCATCAGGGTGGTCGGAGTAAAACACTGCATTTTCTCATTGCCGGTGAGATACTCTAGACAAATAATATTGAGCTATTTAAGAGATCGAGTTTCATTTGTTTTAGAAATTCTTAAAACTTTAATTTATACCATTCAGTTTTTATTAATTTTTCCCCTTATAGTCACACCTGTTTTTACTTAAGGGGTTACATGGGTCTAGAAGGCAAAAAATCGTATACATTTTTATAATTTTTTTTCATATAATAAATAAATTATTTTATTAGGGTCACTTGAACACCATAAACTACACTATCGAAAGAACAATTTATAAAATTTTTGTTAAGAAATATTAAAAATTGAGCTCATGGCCACTGGTTGTTTAAAATCTTTCCCAAAAAAAGTAATTTTGCAGTGGTCACGATTTCTCAAAAACTGATGGACAGATCTTTCTCAAATTTGGCGCACTTCTTCTAGATAGTGCTGACTAGTGATTGAACAAAGGATTCTTTTTTCCGTTGATTACACTTAATTTTACATGGTCTAAATGGTTAACAAATTCGTAAGAATTGACAAAAAACACTGCCAAAATTTCAAATTTCAATATTTTTTAAAACCCTTCATTCAATCACTAGTCAGCACTATCTAGAAGAAGTGTGCTAAATTTGAGCAAAATCTGTCCATTAGTTTTTGAGAAATCGTGACCACTGCAAAAGTACTTTTTTGAAAAAGATTTTCCATGACATGGGCTAAATTTTTAATATTTCTTAAAAAAAATGTTTACAAATTGTTCTTTCGATAGTGTACTTTAAGGTGTTCAAGTGATCGAATAAAATAATTTATTTATTAAATGAAAAAAAAAATTATAAAAATGTATACGATTTTTTTCCTTCTAGACCCATGTAACCCCTTAATATAATTGAAGTATTTAATATCAAAATATCTATAATACACGGAGAGAAGAGTTTTAGTATATTATTATCTATACTACGCCCTTCTCTCCGTGTAGGTCTTATAAAATATTTACCAACGTTAATATATATTATTTCAAGGTATTTCCGAGTCAATCAATTACTATCTGATTCTAAACTTTTATGTACCTATCTCGAAAGAACATTTTTTCCTAATCGTAACGTTTCATTCCGAAGCTTAATTTAAATCCTTTTAAATTTTGTTTGGAATAAATCACAGAAAATTGTAAGGTATTAAAATAAGCGTTGCAGCTTATTTTAATGCCTTTTAATTTTCTGTTATGACAAGATTAAAAAAAATTTTAATTTAGCCGAGGAATGAAACGTTGATTCTAAACGCTTTTTCTGTAAAATTACAGAAGAATTATTATTAAGATTGAAACAGTTTGGTCTAGAAACCAATTTTGGAATGCCTCGAAATAATATTTAGCAAAACTAATCGAATATAAATCCGGAACTTTCGTAGGGATAAATTTCTTTGTTCTTTCACGACGAGCTTGAATCAAATTTAAATGAAAAGTTCAGTAACTGAAAATGTTTTGTGGATTTAAATTGTAGATTTAAATCTACATGTTTTTAGATTTATTTTACAAAAATAATTAAAATGATCGGTGGAGGGCTTTTTGAGAAAAACCACTTTTATTAATTTTACAAAAAACCTTGTTTGCGTATTTTTGTTTATTTTGAAAAATTTATCAAAAGATTAACCCATTAAGAGCCAAAATGCACAAAATTTTAATTCGAACTTCAATTTATTTTATTTTATAAAAAAAATCATTCCATTTTTTGCTAGAGCACAGTTAAAGAGGAGAGATTCATTACAGTTGGGTCACGTTTCTTCTAAACATCAGAAAATGATTGAACCAAAAGTATAAAACCTTTTGAAACATTTCAAAAAAAAAATTTGTCGTAACGGTCGCGAATCAGGACTTTACGGTTCGACTACGGTACAAAATCAATGTTATAAGAAAAAAATTTATCAGTAAATAACAAAAAAAAAAAAAAAAACTAGAATTGTGTTGAAAATGATGAAAAAAATCTAAAATTGAAATAAAATAAGTCCTTTGGACCAAAGACTTCTTGCGTTTCGAAAAATTCAAATTTTATTAACACCTAAATTTTTCAAATGGAAATGGCATTTTTGGCTCTTTTTAAATACAAAAATGAACTTTCGATGAAAGAACGTATCATAATATTGTAAAATCGGTGGGTGGCTCAACCATATGACACACGGCGCCGTGATCATAAACACGTTGTATAAATTTTGTTGTTTGCTCATTCCTTCTGTTATTTAATACACTTTTGAAATACACTATAAAAAAGATTTAGGTTGTGATTTTAGCATTTATTATACGTTTATTGAAAAATTTGGTATTTATTGCAATTTCATTTTACTGTAACTGACGTGAAAAGTTGTTGAACTCTATTTAGTGAAAGAATCGCTTCTTGAAACTCTATAACTGAAAATCCTTTCCCTCTAAATTTTAATTAGTGAAAAGTGGGCTACTAATTCACATTAGTAAGAAGTTTTACTAATTTTTAGTAAAATATTACTATTTGATTTAGTAGTTTAACATTTTTTTTACTAAAGTTTTAGTAAAAAATGACTTTTACTCGGCTAGACCTCTATAAGTGAAACAAATGTCTCTCGAACCTCTATAAGTGAAAATCTTTTAACTTTTTTCAACAAATTAATTAAGATTTATATAAATTATCGAGTCACTTTATGATAACATTTTCTTTCAATAAATAAATAAATAAATTAATTAAATTCCGTCTTTCTTGTAAATTAAAAAAACCTCCACAAGTGAAAGAAATACGCCAGAAACCTCTATAAGTGCGTAAACCTTTATAACTGATAAAGGCTCCTTTTCGACTTTCATAACTGAAAACCTCTATTACTGAAAAACCTCTATAAGCGATAAAAATGATCAGTCCCTTGGATTGTCACTTATCCAGATTTAACTGTATTTGGCCTTGTCGGAAAAAAGAAAAGATTTTTTTTATAATTATCATGCATTAAAGTTTCACTCAAGATTCCGTGTATTTGGGAGTTAATGGGTTTATTTTTTGATAGATTTGTCAAAATAAACAAAAATACACAAAGTAGACTTTTTTGTAAAAATAATAAAAATGATTTTTCTCAAAAAGCCCTCCGACAATTATTTAACTTTTGTTGTAAAATAAATTTGAAACCATGTAGATATAAAATCCATAAAGACATTTATAGTTACCGTCAAGTGGGGTAACTTCGGACAGGGAGGCTAATTCCGGACACTTATAATTTGTTGATGGAATATTTTACCGAATATTTTTATTAAAGCTTCCAATTTAACAACTCTCTGACTACATGTTTTTCTAATTTTAAAGTGATATTAAGTTATTGAAAGAAAAATTTTATTGTCCGAAATATTAGCCTCCCTGTCCGAAGTTACCCCACTTGACGGTACTGAAATTTTGATTAAAATTTTATTCAAGCTCACTGTGCTTTATATTGAATTTCCACTAATGCAAAAAATTTTTAGAAGTATTTCTAAGGTTTAACTAAATTATTAAGTAGTTTTTAACAAGATCGTAATTAATTTAAAAATAATATAATTTATTTACCTGAAGTTGTGTATTATCAGGATCCATAATTATCTGATCAGTGTTTTTATCAATCATGCAGTGCACAGCAGCAACAGTGTATTTCATAGATACACTGGCATTAAGTAAAGCAAGACAAGATGCATTTAAAGCACAGGCTAAAATCTGTAAAGGAAAGAATATTCTCAATTAACATAAAGTTACCTACATTTTTAAAAATCTCAAAAATTATAAATTTAAATTTAGTTTAGAAATAAATAAATTGAATCGTATAAGAAGGAAATTTCTGTATTATTTATGTTTTAAATATTTAGGTATATTAAAAAATATAGAATATTAACCGTTAAAGTACATACTGGGTACAAATCACCCGTATTATTTAAAATTCGAGCTACCTTAAAACGCGTGGTAATAAGTCCTTCGGATAACCTATTAAATATCGCATAAAGTAAATACTACAAGAACAGAAAAAATTTTTTTATTTAAATAAAATTGTTTTTTTATGTTTCTGAGAAAACTTCCTATGGTTTAAAAAAATTGACTGAATTTTATCAATTTCGTAGCAAGATATAAGCTTTCAAAGTATCTTCGGATATAAATCACCCATGTGTGTATCTAAGTAAGATTTTGAAGTGTATAGTTTAAGAGTTAAGGGGAGGCTTTCATTGCGGCGACGAAAAACAACCCAAAATTTTAAAATTTTTTGCGGAGAACAGTTGTGATTAATCGATCTATTTTTATATAAATAAAGATACATCTGTGAACTTTTAAAAAATATATTTTATTTTAAAAACATTTTTCAATGTTGGCCGCTATGGTAAATCTAAAGAACGAGTTTTTTAAGAAGAGTAAAAGTTCGTACACTCTGCAAATTGCAATTTTGAATTTAGAATAAACAATGACAAAATTTTCAGTAAGAATTTCTGAAACGTGCCACCTAAACCTGAAAAAAAATTTTTTTTGTTGAAATATTATTTTTCTTATAGTATTTTATATGCACAATCACCCCCTAAAACGATTTTGCAAAAAAAAATTTTTTGTTATTAACAATTTAATATTTTTGACCCTTTTTTTAAAAAAAATTAATTTCAAAGAAATTTATTGATCAATTTTAGTGATCTAAACGGCATTCTTCTTGTCTTGAACCATAGTTTTATTGATATTTTTTTTGGTGCAAAAATATTGATTTTTATTGCAAAAAAAAATTGTTTATTTATAAACAAATAGTAAAAAACCATGAAAACAATCGAATTTCAAAATGAAAAAAATAGATTCATATACTTAAAACCCTTCTGAATAATATTCCGTCGAGAAAAATAATGGCACACATTCGACAATTGGTTTATTTAAACATTTTTTACAGCGCGCATGGCGCATGTAGTACGTAGTGAGTGACAGGAGCCGCACTACGTTCCGCTAGAACTCTAATGTAGGTATTCTATTCTACAAAGCCTGTGGCAATAGTATGAGCCGAAGGCGAAGATTTGCGAGCGAAGACGAGAACTGTAAAACACGAGTGGAAATCATTTTCCTCCCGAGTTGCACATACTATTTTTTCTAACACACGTATACCGAAAGTATAAACGTGGTAGTGTGGATACTATTGATGATGGTATGGTTGTTACTGGTAGCAGTATAGTTACTACTGGTGGTTTACCAGATGTTTGAGATTCACTATTGCTCATACTTTGATTAATATTTAATACCTAATAATAACATCACCGGGAGGTAAAGTTACTTTTCCTCCCGCTCAGTGACGTTACCGGGAGGGAATGTAACTTTCCCTCCCGTTTAGTGACGTCACCGGGAGGGAATGTAACTTTCCCTCCCGCTAGTCAGAAAAGACATACTTTTCTCCCGCTACACAGGTAAGAAATGGTGTACTTTCGGTGCGTGTGTTAGAAAAAATTAATTTTATTATTAAATTATAATTTTCAAATGTTGTTTTAAAAAGACCTATAAAATAGTCAAAAAATTAAAAAATGACAAAATGGCGAACATTTTTTTTTAAATTTATTAATTTATTAATTAATTTTTTTGTCTTTAATTAGCTGCAAACGGGAAGTTAATTGGTTAAAGAGTTTAGACCCTAAGATGTACCCCAATTTGAAAAATTATGTTTTGTGCAATACGTCTTTGAAAGATTTGGAAACATTTTTATATTAAATATTGGTATTTTATTTTAATTTACGCAAATCATAAACATCTATAGGTTTTTAAGGTCGCTGGCCATGATTCTGATATCAGATTTATAAAATTAAAAATGGCATATCAAATGTTACAGACAATTTACAAAAAAAAAATGATTGAATTCAACGAATTCTTATCACTTACAGGACACCGGTGAATTCAAGACGCAGCATAAACGAAAATACTTTTCGGATCGCAAAATCAATTCACTTACATATTCTACACATATATAGCTTTCAAAAGATGGAATTTAAAAAATAGATTTTTTGAACACCCTGCAATGAGAGCTTCCTCTTAATTTCTTTCGTATGGAGGATTTCAAATATTATCTGAAAAAGGTTTTTTGGGACTTTTACAAAACATCCCATGTTGTAATTTACGTTCAATTATACAAAATCTCAGTCCGTCATATTACATAGTAAGTTTTAAAATGTTAAATTTTAAGGCTGAATAAGAAATTGTTATCGAAATTTTATCTGTAAAGAATCAAAATAATTCTTACCATTTTTATTTAAATAAACTTTTGTGCCAACCGATAGAAGATTAATTTAAACTAACATCTCTTTTAAAAATGGATATGAATTTTTTACTTTTAGGAAAAAATTAAGATAACGATAAAGCAGAATTCAATTTTTAAATGAAATAAACTCTTCATATATATATCTGAAGAGTTTGGAATAATTTATTTTAAAATTAAAAGTATCGATTGTAGTGAAAATAGCAAACCAATGAAAGACCAATGCAAACCAAAACCAATGAAAAGAGTATTAAAAAAACTATCAAACATATTCGATAATTTTTTTCTTTCATTACATGTGTAGACAGAAAAAATTAAAGTAGATGACCGTCAAAATTTTCAAAAAAGGACGCGACCCGATGTTTATCTTATTCCCTAACGGCATCTGGCTATTCGGAATATCCTACGGATGTCCTAGGGATACATATTTTACATTTTTGAAAAGAATTAAAAAGTTTCAATTACCCCTCCAGAATCCTGAAGTTCTTGCACATTTATTGAAATTGAAGCCCCAGGATGTAAAGTTGTCATAATGGCAGATTCACAACTGTCCTTAATATACTTCTCAGTGACTCTACCATTCACACCTGAAAATAAAAAATTTTTTATGAAAAATTGCGTTATCATATAATCTCTTGAAAAATAAACTTTCTCAATACCAAAATAAGTTTGTCAAACGAAACCTGTAATAAAGCGAAATATCTTAAAAGTGACAAAAACCAAAACTACAAATTTTTAAGTAAAAAATAATTTCCATTAAAAAATAATTTTAGACCAACTATAAAAAATGTCTTCTATTTAAGGGGTTAGTGACTTTTCTTAAACATTTTTTTTAATTACAAAAAATATTTTATTTACTTCAAACTTTTTATACCTGAAAAAAGAGGTTTTAAACTATTGAAAAAAATTTTTTATTCCTTATTTATTATGGATTTTGTTGCTGTCATGGCCGCCTAAAAATACCTCTACTTGTGATTGGCGGACACACAATATCCCCCACAGCACCGAAAATTTCCTAAAGATTTATTTGCAAACTTCGGAAACTTTAATTGCAAAGTTTAGAGAAAATTGTATAAAGATTTAAATGTCCAAAATGAGTAAATGTTTGGCGTAAAACTTGACGGAAGATTTAAATTAAATTTTCCAGAAATTTTCGACGCGAAAATTGAGTGAAGATTTAAATTAAAGTTTCGTGAAATGTTTGGCATAAAAGTTGACTAAAAATTTAAATTAAATTTTTAGGAAATGTTCGTCACAAAAATTGACTGAATATTTAAATTACATTTTCACTCAACTTTCGGTATAAATTTTTAATAAATATTTAATTTAAATTTTTAGTCAACTTTTACGCCAAACATTTCACGAAACTTTAATTTAAATCTTCACTCAATTTTCGCGTCGAAAATTTCTGGAAAATTTAATTTAAATCTTCCGTCAAGTTTTACGCCAAACATTTACTCATTTTGGACATTTAAATCTTTATACAATTTTCTCTAAACTTTGCAATTAAAGTTTCCGAAGTTTGCAAATAAATCTTTAGGAAATTTTCAGGAAATTTTCGGTGCTGTGGGGGATCTCCAATTCAGGTTATCAAAAATTAAAGTTTTGATATTTTTTCATTTTTGACATTGTTTTTTCAAACTTAAATTGTTTAAAAAAATGGTTAAATATTAATAAAAAAAAAGCGAAAGCGAATTTATGAAAACATGTCCTTTTTCAATAAAATACCCCCTTACGCGTAAGAATATATTATATACATTAGGTATACATATGTATTTTTGCGTGTAGCTTACAGGGAAAATATAGCGAACCTGATTGGAGTTGATTATCATAGAGTTGTCAAGGAAAAACCACGAATTTTTACGAAAAATGCCTAAAAATGACTATGTACCCCCTCCCTAGTGGCCACATCTTTTGACATAAAAAGCTCAAATTTGGTATTTTTACGTGAAATTTACAAGCAAAATATAGCGAACTTAATTCGGATCAATTTACATAGAGTTGTCAAGAAAAAATAAAAAATTTCGAAAAAAACGTTTAATCCTTCTAGCACACACAATATGCAACCCAGACAGTTCATTATTTGGTGTATTATTGTATCTTTGCGTGAAAATTAGGGGAAGGTGGGGGAATTGGAGTCCCTTAAAGACAATGATTAAAAAACCAACTTATTGTTATAATAAAATATTGTTATTCCAAAATTGCGTATCACGTTACAATTTTGAGTAAAGTCTCCAAAAACCATGTTTTTGAGGGTTTTCAGTATTTTTTTCTCCTTAACCTGACGTGATAGAGACTTCTATATAGGGTTGAATTAAAGTTTATATCTTACATTTTAAGACTCTTATGTGCAAGATTTAAAAAATTAGGTTTAAGTCACCCAAAAAGATTATTTTTGGGTCATTACCTCCATTTTTTTAAAATTTTAAAAATTTTTTTTATTATTCGCATATGGGACTTAAAATGTACGTTTTAAACTTAAATTTAAGCCTATATAGAAGTCTTTAAGACGTCTGGTTAAGGAGAAAAAATACTGAAAACAATTACCTTAAAAACACAGTTCTTGGGGTGTTAACCCCCAGTTATTTTTAAATTTCAAATCTTTTTTTAATCTTCCGTATATGGGTCTTAAAGTGTAAGAAAAACTCGGGATCGTGTTCAGCACACAAAAATACATTGGAAACCACTCGGACAACTAAAAACAAAGTCTTATTTTGTAGACCTGTGTTATTGAAGATATAACTTTTAAATAGAAAGATGAAAAAAATTTGACCTATATGTTTTCGAAAAATTTTTTCCTGCTCTTTCGAATGATGCAAAAAATTCAAAATTTGACCATTTTTTTTGAAAATCAAAAATTATTTTGACTTTTTTTAGGATCGGTTTTTTTTAATTTTTTTGAAAGTTAAAAATGTGTATTTTCACTACAAAAAATATTGAGATGTCCTTTTTTGTCATTTTCGAGATATTAATTAATTAATTAATGTTAGGTAATAAAAAATTAAATATTTTACAGATAAATAAAATTACTGCAATTCTGAAGCTACCAATTGAAAGCTGGCGTTATTCCGCATCCAACGAGCCCTATAATTGAAGTATTTTGTATTAGTGGATTGTCAATAAACAATTGACTAACATTGCAATTGTTTATAAAAATCCTCTGATCCAAAATAGTTCATATAGGGCTCGTTGGATGCGGAATTACATCAGCTTTCAATTGGTAGCTTCAGAATTGCAATAACTTTATTTCTTTGTAAAATATATGTGCAAGTTACAGCCCGATCCGATCAATTTTTTTTTCATTTAGTACACTACAGGAATATTAGTTTCCATAGCATTTCTACATATATCTATTACAAGAATCTGCAGTTTTTAGAAAATCGATTTTTTTTTAAAAAGATGTGGTACTAACCCCTTAAAAAAGTAGATTGATCCTTTAAATAACAATAATTTGTAAATTTAAACTTACTTGGTGGTCCTTGTGCTGCATTGTATGTTACTTCAACATGAGCTTTATCATACAACATTTTCTGTACTTTTGCTTCCACTGGGCCATAAACTGCTGATATTATAGTAGTATCACCTAAAAAAAAATTTAAAGTACTCTTATCACATCTATAGTGGATTTCACATAAAATTTCCACCTTAAAAAATTATTGTTTAATATATCTATAAGTTTTTTATTAGTTGATTAATAATTTATCAGGCAAATATTTTGGAATTTTCTGGAAAAATTTGTTGACTGAAAGGGAGTGAAAGTTTTGTACTTTATTTAAATATTAAAACACTTGGATGCGGTAAGAATCTATGTCTATTTTGTAAATTATCGATGCAGTTTTAATAATATGTATGAAAACAATATTAAAAAATAATTTTATGCTAGGTCATGGATATAATAATAGTTTGTACAAAATCCATTTCTAAATATTTTAAACAAAAAGAAATATAAAAATACTTGTCAGTAAGTTTTATCCTTACAACTTTTAGGTTTTTATAAAATTGATGCTCGTATTATAATATTGAAATTATGACATGTCAAACAGTAGTCATAATCATGCAAATACTCAATGTTTTTTCGTATTTTTACTTGAGTAAAATTAAATTAAATTTGGATAAAAAATGATAGATACTTGAATAAAAAATTATTATATTCGAAGCAATAATTTCACTATTTGAATCAAATATGTCTTTTAATTGATTTTAATTGCTTAAAATCTAATTTTTAAAAATGTTTACATCTGTCAATTTTTATGGAAAATTTTCTAACAATTTTTGAAATTTAGAATTCTTTTATAAATACCACCGATTTTCTTGATATATATGTATATTTATTTATAGATAAACTTTTTTTAGGCCTTTATTATAGTTTAGAAATGAGATGGTAATTGAACTACATGTTATTCGACCTTACAAAGTCCTCTACAAATCTTCTATAATAATTGAAAATTAACTAAAATTTAACCATTTTTAACAGAGTCCCTTTGTTACTCCTTGCAAGATTAAAATTAAATTATAATTAAAAAATGAACTATTGTTTGAAATAATTTTTAATTTTGCATATTTTATCCAAAGAACGAAAAATATTTTGAATTGTGGCACTTTTTTATGGTTTTCACAGTGAAATAAAAAAAAGAATTGAAATTTTGTTTTATATGTTATGAATGTTCTATTTGATAGAGAATATTTGATTGAATGTTAATGGTTAGATATATACGCAGTGTAAATTAAAACATTTCATAAAGCATTGAAAATTTTATGAAACTTTGAGAAATAAAAAGTTTCATGAAACTTACAACCTTATATATAACAGTTGAAACTAAAATATAACCTCGATTAAAAAATAAATAGAAATTTTGTTATAATTATTGAAGGACACTAACAAAAGTTGAGAAATAACAAAATTTTTATTTTGAAATGAATTCCATCATTGCAAAATAATTATTTTCTTCCCCAAGCCTGTAAAGTTGTGACATAAATAAACTGTAAGCAAAATTTTATATAGAAATTACACAATATAATAATTTTCTAAAAAGGAAACTGATTTTAACCAAAATAAAAATATCATTTTTGTGGTTTGCAAAGTTCGGTACTATACAAGGTGTTCAAAAAGTATGGAAACTTGAAAATTTCTCGAAAAGTACGAACTTTCGTGCAAAATATTTAACACAAAAGTTATTCCAAACAAAAAGATGTACATTTTTCAACCCAAAAAATGGAATCCGAAATTCAACAGTGAAAAAAGAAATATATCACGAAAATGCGTACTTTTTGAGTTATTTACAAGTTTCCATACTTTTTGAACACCCTGTATATGCTATAAATATGTCATTAAAAAAAACGAAAATTATTGCACTAAATGGAATAAAAGTGTTATTATTTCAATATAATTTTTTTATAAAACAAAACTGGACAAAGGACATCATTGTGAACAGAAAAAAATTTTATTTGATAGAAAATTTATGTTGCCTCGAGAATTATAATTGTGTAGACGAAAATGGAATTCAGAGGGATATCAAGCCAATATGATGAAACAATGAAATATTTCAATACTTCTTGATGCAAGCCAACTTACCGTGATAGGGTCGAAATCACTGTAACCTTAAATTATGCTACAATTTTGTGATCGATTTCGCATGAAATTTCAAGTTGGAAATGCCATAGTAGTTTAAATTTTTCTGTATCTTTTATCGAAATCACGCAACATATTTGGAGTGTGTACTATAATACATTTATTTCGACAATAGTATTTGCTCATCATATTTAAAGTAAACTTTGAAGAATTGAAAGTCATTCCAAGATTTGAATTTTTAAAGATTATTTAACTTAATGCTAGAGTAGTGCTAACAAACCAAAAATGTTTGACCCAAGTGCTTGTCAATTTGCGTTCACAATATATATATATATATATACTAATTATAATTTTCATGAAGAACTTAATTTATAGTTATCATAATTGTTATATTACCTTGAACAAACATTGAAGATCCATCGGGAGCTGATAGAACATTCAATTCGCACTTCATAGGACGCAAACAATACTCAGCTGCTGTCATTTTCTCGTTAACAATGATCAAAATCGTATCAAAGTTCAGGTTAGCTTGGGTACAACCAGGTACAACTGCACATACAAGAATGTGTTTATACAGTCAGGGACACAAACACATTCAAGCAAATGGCCTCAACGAAGCAGTGTGAATCCAGCGCTCCTATCAGCCAGTATCTAAAACGTTTAGTCAAATCTTTAATCGGTAAAGTAGAAAATGATTTGTTTGGCAGATAATTAAATTATACAGTAGATAACGATACAACTGCAATTATTAACAGGTACCCGTTTATAGTAGTTCACTCAACCGGTACTAGGTGAACTCTTAATTTATTTATTTCAACATATTTTCTATCTCACATTTTTTAAATATTCAATTTTATATTAATATTACTTATTTTATATGATAGATATAAACATTTTTTAAATATAAAAATCTTTATCATTATTTAATTTTATTATTTTTTAGGTTTTAAATATTTTAAACATTTGTAAAATATAATTATTTAAAATTTTAATCAGATCTTTAACTTGAAATAACCTTAATTAATTATCAATTTAATAAAATAATTTATTATAAAAAATCATCATTCTAGTAAGAAGAGATTGATTGAAAAAAATTAAAATGTTCACAAATATCGTATATAGGTGGAAGTCGCAATCATTTCAATCCAAAACTAATGTCATACTTTAACGCTTATGTTGTAATTCTCATAAAGTAGTTAGAATTGAAATCAATTTAATTCTGTTTAGTGTCATGAAAGTTTGAAATCAATTGAATTTTATTTACAATGTAAATATTGCTGACATTTTAATTCATTCTAATAAAAAGATATTAAAGTGCATTAAAATGAAAGATATTTTTCCTGATTTTACGAATAGTGGCAAAATTTTGACCCTTCTTTTTAAAAACAAAAATTTTTTTGACTTTCTTTTCAAAATCGGACATTTTTTTTTCTTTTTCAAATTTCTTTTTTATAACTCTTAAAATGTATTCAACACAAAAAATATGGAAATGTCCTTTTTAGTTGCCTTCAAGATATTTATTAATTAATTAATGTTAATAATAAAAAAATATTTTACAAATAAATAAAGTTATCGCAATTCTGAAATTGTGTGTTGAAATTATGCATTTTAAGCTTTATAAAAAAAATCGAAAAAGAAAAAAAATGTCCGATTTTGAAAAAAGTCAAAAAAAGTTTGGATTTTCTAAAAAAGTCAAGTTTTGAATTTTTTGAAAATATTTTTTTACTATTCATAAGATGAAGAAAAAAATTTTCGAAAACATGTGGGTTAACATTTTTTTCATCTTACTGTTTAAAAGTTTAACTCTAAACATTCACTGTTCACATTTTCCAAAAAAGAATTTAACACCCTCCCCCTTCTACAGTTTTTAATAAAACCTAACAATACTTCATGGTTGGAACCCATAGGGCTAAACTGTAGACAAGTTACAGGTTTACAGGGTAGGATTTTAGGTCTGTGTAATGCGTGGTTGCCATGTTATCAGGGGCTCTTTTTTTGCAGCATAATTTTTAAATGTCAATAACTTTCGTCCGAATTAATGGATTTGAAATTTTTACCAACGTTTTTTGTAGAGAATTTTCTAAACTTTCAAATGAAATAATTGATTTTTTCAAAAATGTAGTTTTGTCTAAAAAAAGCAAAAAAAATATTTTTTTAATTTTTACACTTCTTTCCCAACTTTATTTTTTTCAAAACTACATTAAAATATTACTTATTTCGTAAGACTTTCACCATCCAAATTTTATTTTGGGACAGCAAAGTGGGTGCGAGCTACAGATGAATATACACGGAAAAAAGAGGTTTGGTAAATATAAGTAAACTGAGTTCGGTTGACTGTAGAGCAGTTGTTGAAACCAAATGAATAGTTGTCTTGACCTAAGTGGTTCGGTTGTTAGAACTAAACTCGAATGGTTGTTTCAGTTTGGTTATTTGAACCGAAGTTCGGTTATAACGAACAAACACTTTCCAACAAACTCATTCCCACTACTTTAAAAGTAGGATTTAAAAAATATTTCACAGTTTTTCATTTATTTCAACATAGAATTTTTTTATGAAATTCCATGGTAAATGTACCAATATATATTTTCTACTCTCTAAATCTGAATTAGTAAAAAAGTTTACTAATTTGAATTAGTGACTCACTTTTAGCTTCTTAATTAGTAAAATTTTACTAATTATTAGTAACTTTTACTAACAATTAGTAAAATTTTACTAACTCTAAAACAAAAAGTGATTCATTAATTTAAATTATTAAACATTTTTAGTTTTTACTAATTCAGATTTAGAGAATATATGTAAAATCGAAATATGGATTATTATTATTATTATTCGAATAATTGTTCTATATATGTTATATTATTTATTATAATAAATATTATTAAATTATATATTCGGTTTAAATTGTATGTGATACCTATGTAAAATACATTTTCTCGGTCATTGTTAACGTATACGTTTGAGTAGAATTTTTTTCATATTTAAAAAATTTTTAATATATATTTTTTATGCTTTTATTACAAAAATCCTATTCCATTAGTTTATGTCACGTATTTGGATAAAGTGTATAATGATAAAACTTTTATAATACTCTTCAACTGGTTTACTTGAAATCGGATCGTTACCATATGGAAGCAATTTAGACTATATCCTCAGTGCGCCAGGGATCGCCTGACCGGCCAATGTTTGCTTTTTATGACATTTTTTTGCAAGGGTTTTATAAATCAATGCTTTTCTTTAAACATTGAAAAATTCAAAATGCGACGTTGCCAAATACATTTTTTCAATGTTGTCAAATCTAAAAGTTTTCATTTTGCCTTTTAGGCATATGAAAACGCATTGAAAACGCTTCTGTTGCAAGGATTTACTCCTGGAGTAACGGAAAATTTTTTCAATTCGTTCGTCAACACCAAAAAGGATTACATTTTTTGTGAATTAATTAATTAATTTCATTTAATTTAAATTAATTAATTTCTTTATTTTAAAGACTAGGGTAAGTTCGGGGGAGATGGCCAATTCAAATATTTTATAGAATTAGCTGTTAGGTATCGCTTATTAATGATTAGTTCGCTTTGTGTTGTGGCAAAACACAATTAAAAGAAAAAACTTCACGAAAAATATTGAAAAAGTATGTAAAAATCTGATTTGTTATTTTGACTAGTTCGGAAAAAAAGTGTTGAGTTTACGTTTCTCACTGGTGTTATGTTATTTTATAGAATAATTTTGAATTTCATGTTTTTTTGTAAAGTACATGACCCAAGCTTTGTCATAACTTCACAGAAAACTAAAAGGTATTAAAATAAGCTGCAACACTTCTTATTTTAATCAAATGTTTCTTATTTTAATCCATTTTGGTATTAAAATAAGTAAAAATGGATTAAAATAAGAAGCGTTGCAGCTTATTTTAATACCTTTCAATTTTCTGTGTTTACATTTATTCAAAAATTTTATTTATTTATTTATATTTTAGTTGTGTCAATTTGTCTCCTGACATTATGAGAGATGGCCATGTTTTTTCGAGGTGAAATGGCCATGTTTAAGTTATTAGCACCCTTGAGATTCGTGTGTTCGATAAAAAAAACATTAATTCTGTGGCAAATGACATTTTTTATGACATATATTACAACAAGACACTCCAACAAAGATTTTCAAATTTAAATATGATCAAATAAAATAATCACTATTGTGTAATTAAATCTTAAAAACGTTTATAAACAATCATAACACAGGTCTACAAAATAAGCCTTTTTTATATATATATAGCGGAGTGGTTTCTAATGTATTTTTGTGTGCTGAACCCGATTCCGGGTTCCAAAATTGCGTATCACATTAGGATTTTGAATAAAGTGGAGGTAAAGTCTCCAAAAACAGTGTTTTTGAGGGTTTTCATTATTTTTAAATGGGGGTAAATACCCCAAAAATCTTTTTAGGTGACTTGAACCTAATTTTTATTTCAAATTTCAAATTTTTTTTTCCTTGCGCATATGAGTCTTAAAGTGTAAAATATAAGATTTAATTTAACCTTTTATAGAAGTCTCTATCACGTCAGGTTAAGGATGAAAAAAAATACTGAAAACCCTCAAAAACACGGGTTTTGGAGACTTTACCCTCACTTTACTCAAAATCTTGACGTGATACGCAATTTTGTAACCCGGGATCGTGTTCAGGACACAAAAATAAATTGGAAACCACTCTGATATCTCAAAAAATACCTTGTAAACTTGTTGTGTTGGTGAGACAGACAAACAGAGAGCGCTTATCGAAGACTGGATTCAGTGCAATGATTGTCACCTTTGGTTTCATGAAAATTGTACTAAATTTAATGAAAAATGTTCGAAATGTGGTCAGAAGAAGAAAAGAAGACATTAATCACTTTAAATTAAGAATTCTGATAAAGCGAAAAGCCAAAGAATAATTTTAAAGTATTGGCCATCTCTCCCGTATGCCTATGGCCATCTCCCCCGTACATTCCGGGAGAGATGGCCAAACGTGTTCTTTAAAAAATATTCATTTTAAGATTGTTTACATTTAAAAAATTTATCATTTCTATTATTATTTGTAAGTTAAATGTTCAATGTTTAATTAGCAATAAAAGCGTTAATACATAAATCACTTTCTTCTTATTTTTACAGGCCTTTAAAAAAACTATGTCCAACTCCCCCGGACTTACCCTAATTGTTTAAATTTTGGTGACAAGTGATAAGTGAAAAAATGAATTACGTTCGACTTCTTAGTGAATGGGGGTTTGACAAATATATAGAAAAATTCAAAGGTAAGGTAAGTTTTGTATTGATACTCTCTAAATTTGAATTAGTAAAAAACTACTAATTAAAAGTCAAACCGTGAAAAATCGGCCCTATTTCAATTAGAAGAAAATAACTAATTTTTAGTGGAAAACAACTAATTTAACAGTCAAATTTAACTAATTAGTTTAAAAAAAATTACTAAAATATTTAGTAGACATACATCTACTAATTTTTTTGTCATTTAATATAATTTAAAAATTAGATGAACTAATGAATTAGTCATTTTTTACTGAATATTATAATCATTACTGTTACTAATTCATTTAATATCCGAATCGGCCCTATTTCAATT